AATCAATTGCAAAACAATAAATAAACATAAATTGTTTACAGGTATTTAAAAGCTAACAATTTTGATTACTTATATGTTTGGTCCCAACACTCTCAATAGTTTTTTAAAATTTTCAATTTAAGTAAAAACGATGTATTAATGGGAAAAAGGAAATATAGATAGAAGAGGTACTGTGTCGATACTTTTACAATGCACGTAAGTTTGTGGAGTATCAAATGAAGACTTTATGAGATTGGAGATTTCCTTTCCCTTATCTACATGATTTCTATCTCCCTACTTGCTAATTATACGTCACCTTCGTCCACTTGAGTTCTTAGTTTTATCACAGGCATGATTTATATTTGCAGTTTTTGTATTGATTTTTTTAGTTTCCCGCCGGATCCTTTTTAAAGGAGAAATGGGCTGAAGCAACAGGCAGTAAAAGCTGGGTACCTACTAAATGTAGCACCATTTGCTATAGACATTTCATGACATCACATTAAAGTATGTAAATATGAATGACAACCGAAAAATTAATTAAGAAATAAATCATTTGGTTAATCAGGTAATATATGACATGAAACTCAGAGTCGCATTCATAAATTATAGACCACATCTAAATGTGAAAACATTTCTGAAACATTGTCAGTTATTTTTCGTCAAGTTTTCAGGAAACAAGCAATTCGCTTCTTCACCTTCGGAAATAAGTTTCTTCATTTACTTGACAAGCTCGTCGACGCTATAGGTGTAGTTGTGTTCAGTCAGTTCAGAAAGGGGTAATTGTTGACCAAATATATCACATTTCAGTGAGCATAAAGATTTTTATGATGATTGTGTTTTAATATTTCAACCCTTCCAGTGCTCGGATTGACTTGAAATCTAGTAGGTTAATGAAAGTACTATGATGTATAATATAATCATTAATACTGTGATTGTAGCATGTAGCTACATATAGGCACGCACATGCCTGCGTAGGTTATATTAATTAATATTTGCGTGTACTAAAACCTTATGCGTATTTGGTAAAAATGTGCGTGTGTAAAAGTCAGTTATGCTAGTTCTCGAAAAAATTGCTTTAAATGCCATTTCCATATACTCTGTGGTGGTGGTGGTAATCCTCGAGTATATGTATAACCAGAAATAGAGACGAAATAAGGGCCATATATTCCTGGTAACACATTAGCAATACAGCTCTTATAAATATCAACTCTCGTGTGCACTGAAATATAGACAGGCCAACTACTGATCTGTGTGTACGTGTCCATATATTCCAAAAAATATTCTGTATTTATGTAATAAAGATAATATCTGTAACAATGCCGTGCTGTTCTATTTGGTGGTGTGGGAAATACAGCAAAACATCTAATTACAAAACTAACGGAATCACATTTCATCGGTAATGAAATATGTAATTTTGCAATTTTCGTCCATTATAGCAAAGCTCAAGTTAACTGGTCGATTTGAAGTGAAACAGTTGACAACACCCATTGACGACTCCCGTCAATTGTTTCGAACTCGGGCTAGCCAATCGGAGCGCAGTTGTCACAGCAATGATATGGCAGTATAATTTTCAAACAAATTAAATGACATTTTGTCTCTATTTCTGGTGTAAAGCTGTGTAAAGCAATGCTAAGTATTCCGCTAGTTATGAAACATAATGTCAATATCACATTAAATGTCACATCCCTCTCTGTAAATTGTCAACTTTTTGCTTTTGTTCCAAGAAGTTTGTGTTCATAGGATACTTAGCTTTTATATGACTAGTAATAATAAAACGTTATTAGATCCAAATAAGTTTCAGTTTTATTTACCAAAAGTTTTTTATTATTGTCTATTTTTGTTTGATAATTTATAACCAATCAAAATTATGTTATCTTAGTACTAATGTAAGATTACGTTTTCAAATGTGTGTGTGTGGCGACACCGGTTTTCATACAAATGTTGCTTGATGCCATTTCCATTCTTTTTTTTCTTCCGTGCCACTACCCAATAATTACATCAAAATTATATGAAAATAGACAAGCTATAACATTTCTGTTCTTCCTTCACACCTTCATTTAGCAATTAATTATTTATGTCTTTAAATTTTTATTGAATTGATATACAATTCAAAATTTTTTAAGTGAAATTACTTCACTATTTTGTTATAATTATTAATACAAATATTGAACACTCAGAAAAAAATCCTTCGATCTGGCCGGATTCGAACTGACGTCTTCTAACATAAATATGTTTTCCTAATACACAAGTAATTTGTACTACAAATCTTCTTAAAAAAAAAGAGGTTCAGAACTACAACAACAACAGCAAGAAACTAATGTCTGAGTGGAAATAAAGTGAGTAAGCTCAATGTGAAAATGAAGCCTTAAAATATGTACTTACGTGGCTCCAACAGTCTTTAGTTTTAAGAATTGAGGTGTAAATTGGTAGCGAACAAATCTCCCCGCATTAGGATCCAGTGATTCTTCAACCGCGTCTTCGGTGCCCTCATTGTCCACTCCGAAGTCAGTCGGAGGTTTAGCAATCTCAAATAACACAGTACCAGTTTCTAGGTCACGTATTTTGAACCTTGTAAAATCTATATCGTATACATTTGCTTCCGGACTACATAGATATGTATCGGTGATTCTGTCCAACCTCAGAACATCCTCTGGAGTAACATCGCAAGAAATTACGTCGTCGCGATTGCTATCAGTAAGTGATATCGATTCGCACTTTTTCCCAACCAAACTCATTTTGATCCAAAGGGGTTGGGCCAGTTAGTAATAAAAGTCACAAAAATATAGGCACAGTAGAATTTTAGGTTATTGCTTGAGATACATAACAGAGAGGTTAGTTAACAAAGCATTTTCTGTTGAAAAAATAAATAATTTAAATTGCAAAAATTGTCACGAAAGAACAACGCATAAATTACGTCAAAAACTCAAAATTGTACATGTTCAGATACACACGCAATAAATAATAAACAAAGTAATAAAGATTATAAATCGCATTTTATTATCCTTGAATCAGCAATGCGAAAATGTAAATATTACGTCCCTTTTGCCTACGAATATGAAATGTCAATTTCAACGATTTGAGACACATAAATATATATTAATTTTTATTTCGATTGCAATAGTGAATCCGTGTATCCGAATGATTAGACTATTTCCGGTTTAATGTCATTTTTGGTTCATTTTCTGCAGAGTAACCTTTTCATGTTAATTTCTTAAAATAGAGTGATTTCATCATCTCTTTTTGTAGAAACCAAAGTTTTGTCTTGTTATGTTTCTGCAGTACTTAATATTTCAGACTATTTATATTTTCTGGTAGCCACGAAACCAGCACCTAATTGATTAGTTTTGGTATTGACTGTCTTTTCATAGAATAATGAAACCCAAAATAATTACTGACCATGATACAATAGACATAGCTAATTTAAAACAATATCCTTTTTTTGAAAACCATACCAACTGTAAAGGAGCGTAATTCTTGTCGTTGACGTAACATCCGTTGCGTCACAGCGCTCAAGCATGCGCCTTGTCATTTTCATTGGTTGGTCATAGATTAAAATTACAATAATCTACCAATAATCGGCCCATCGCTCAAGTCTTGTACTGTGATAAGTCTGTTGTACGGTGGCAGTGGACGGTCTGATGTGCATCTAAGTGAAATAAAATAAATTAACAACATGCAAATCAAAGAATAGTGAGTATCTTTCGTAAAAGGTTAGAAATCCGGTTGCGAAAATAAATCGATTTTTGGCTGGTGTCTGGGTATGATTTTGCCACGAACTGAGCAGAAATTCTGCATTATCAGCAACTCAGAGAGGACAGTTAGATGGCACGGCTGTGGTGCTATGTTATAATTTATCCAGAAAGCGGAGCTGCAAAAGGGGTCTGAATATATGACAGTGACAGATCTTCAGGTCAAGGACCAAGGTCTGAGTGGGCAAATGGCTGTATCACCAATTTCAGATATTAGAAATTCTACACCTGATACCCATACCACTGTATCATATTTTAAAAAAAACTTTTTTTTTTCAGCCGAGTTACTCTTCCTCTATCAGTAGAAGAGGTAAGTTTTAAGTTATAACTTACATCTGAAAAAAAGTATATTTAGCATTATACCTACTTTAAACACTTTCCCACCTATTCATATAGTACCATAATCTTCTGAATATTTCATAGTCCAAAATCAATGTTTTTGAACTTAAATTCCTTGTGTATAAAATTGTCCTTTTATGTGATTAAATATGAAAATCTGCTCAATGAACATAATACATTATGTCCATTGTAAATTATGGAAGTTATAAAGAACCAGTAGTATTCACTGCTATATGAGATGTTTTGGAGGATCCACACTGCATTGTCATTTCAATTACATCATAAGTAATAATGAAGCTTATTATTTAAAAAAATAATTCAAAATATGACCATGCATAAAAACCATGGCAATGACTGTACAATTTATGAGTTGTATATTAATTTACCTTTGCTGTTGGATTGTGTTATCACAACTGATAACTGTTATCAGTAACTAGAGTGTTGGTAGGAAATAATTTTTTAATGACACAATCTATGTAATAAAAAACCCTTCCTAGGTGTTATTAGACACTGATAAAGAACAGTGAAGTAAGAAAAAAAAACTAATTTTGGATGCTATATTGACAATATAGTTTTTTAACCACTGGTCATATGTTTTTTAGTTTAAACTATGTGACTATGAGGTCGTACTGCTTTTTGCTATTATCTTTGCAGAATGTATATGAGTATACTTCTCAATCCATGGAATAATACAATGGATTTTTAAAACAGTATTCAGTAAAAAGTTAGAACACTTTTACTTAGGAAATTGTGTCATATGACTAAATTAATGGTGTTATTTCACCCTAACACAAACTTAAGTTATTTTTATGTTAAATGCTGTGCTTCTTTGAACTTGTGCATCAGTAGGGAAAAATGACAAAATATATTCAAATTGAAGCCAAACTTGTAGTAAAAGATTATCAATTGATGAAGAGTAAAACTCTTACATTCTTTAGTACAGTTTGTTTGTTGCTTGCTGTACAAAAAATAACATAGGAAATGAAACTATTTTTCCGGATTTAAGACGTTTCGTTTTTAGGACGTTTCGGGTCTTTTACAGGTCCCAATGTCATGGTTGACTGTCAAACAAATATACGCTATTTAAATCCAGAAAAATAGTTTCATTTCCTATATGTAACAATCGCGAAAACCTAAGAACTCGACACAAAAAATAACACACAAAAGTTATTCTAGATTATGTGTTTTCTATGGGAGTTTGCTTTTTGTTATGGGAATGCATCTGAAGTTAAGTTAGAGCCCTCTAGAACATAAACAGGCGCTTGTCGCATTTTTTTATCAAAACAAGTTAAAGACACTAATATATAAAGAGGCTGTATGATATTACCTCTGCCTATTCAAATTAATAGGTGAAAACTTAAATTTAAAAAAAATTGTAGCTGTCTAATTAAAAAGGCGCTGAATGGTTATAGAATAGACATATTTGACAGAGACATTTTAATCTAAAATTTTATCCTTTTCACAGTTTTATATGAGAAAAATTTTACACTTATAATTATTTTAGTCTGTATTTGCATTCACATTAGTCTTATTCCACACCTCATATGACCATTGACATTATACTGTTAGTGGTGTAAAAAAAGTAAACAGATGATTTTAAATTCATATTACCTTTTGATCAAGTTACTTTTGAGTTTTGGGTACTACATACATAGAGAATTGCTTTAAGAGACTAGTACCTCCTGTCTATTCCGCTGCGTGAAGTGATATTATGGCGTATTCATAGCACAAAAATAATAGACAAGTTTTTTTTTCTTAAAAATTGGGCGTTAAGTGTGGATTTTAATGTTAAAATAAGATTTTAAAAGTCAAAATTAAAGTATTTATTGCTCTCGTGTGTTACGTAATGATCTTATGATTAAAATAGTATCAAAATGAGTTTTAAGACGCACCAATTAAAAATATATTTATGAAGTAAACATTCCAAAGGACATTATGTAACAACTAAAATAGATAATAATAATATGCTAGACAATCACACCATTTACAATATTAATTTATTTATTATGTCTTTGCATTTGTTATAAACAATGTTATTGTCCTTAATTTTAATTTGATTACGCCATACATTTAGTGTCATGAAATAAATATATAAATTTCAACCTTGGCCACTTGCATGTTTAGTTTTTTGTTATTGCGTAAAAATATTACCTACATCATTCTAATTACTTCTTACGGTTTTTGTGCCATTTGTATTATGAAATATTTAACCGTATTCTAAAATACGGTGTTATTTATTGTTTAGTTTTGTTTTTTATATTGCTTAATAATATTGGTAATTGACCTTTGTATTGGAAGATTTTGTAATTAATTGGTAATTTTGGTAAGAATTATAAGATTGCTATGTCGACTTTTAAATATTCGTATTTGTTACTATTGAATAAGGGCTATAACAGCCTTATCATTCTCTCGCTAGGTAATCTATTCAGAAGAACAGCCATGAATAAGAAATGAAAAATCTAAGAATGCCAACGTTGTGCCTTTTGCGTCGACGGAAGCGAAACGCGCAACATCTTTTTCGCTCTTATCGCAAGCACATAAAGTTGTTTTAATTCTAGTACTCAGTTATGCTGCCGTCCGCTGACTAAAATGCGACTAAGTGGCAAAATAATTTTTGAAGATATCATAAAAGACCATAACCCAGTTTTAGAATATTGAAATTGTTTAATGATATTTCAGCTATGCATGGTTAGGGTAAGTTCCGATAAGTAGAATACGTTAACTAACTCTTCTCGTCTTTAACTGTTTTTAAAAGAGAATTTTGTACTCCATCGTTTGCTATTCAAAACGGATATTTTGGCCATTTGTCGCTTAGCCACGTTTTAGATAGTTGACCGCAGTATGACAAAAATATACGGCAGTTAATAAAATGAGCTACGATATTTGCTGAAATTAAGCAGGTAAGGACTCAAATTTATAAGAGAATCTAAGGATTTTCTACACAGTATATGCCGCTCCTGGCACCGTTTCTTTTCTTTTCTTGAAACTTTTAAATGGTGAAAAGTTTAAAAAAATTCCAAAATGGAAATAATTAATTTGTAATCTTTTTCTGAAAAATTTTTTCATTATAGAAATTTGCCATGACTCACAACACTACATAACAATGATAAGGCGGTTCGTTGTGCAGAACGATTGTAGAACGAAGCTTGGTCGATGTAAATCTGTTTACATTTTTAACTACCGTTAGCATCTAGATTACCTTTTCCACGTTAAACGGTAGTTTTAAATGTTTTGCTCAAATTGTGACATTACTGTTGCTAAGGTCAAACAGATCGCCAGTTCCATTGACCAATTCCAAACCTGTTCTCTTTCAAATTATCATTTGTGTCACGTGTATTCAGTATAAAAAAAATTACGTAATGTTTTTTTTGACGGTTGTACTTGAGCTTTACTTTTAGTGCTTCTTGACAGATTTAAATCATATTTGGCGATTACCAGTGGTAACCAGTTCCAAATCAAATTAAGAATACTGTAGTCGAAAAAAGCATGATAGGCGGGGTAGCGACCACATTAAATTTACACGGGAGACACTGTTGCTGTTTTATACATACATTATGTATATATGTCATACATGTATATTTACCTAATCGGTGCCTGGGCTAGGGAAAATACGTACTGTCTTAATTAAAATATAAATTACGAAATACTTTCCTATACGAGGTATATTCATAATTTAAAATACAAATACGGTATACTGACCTCATTTGTTAAAAATATAATAATGACCACAAACCGAACATCACAAATGTATCGTATGCAAATATATACGAAATACATATTTGTATAAAGATTTTAAAATATCAAATATATAATACATTACTGTCAGGTATTTGAAATACCAATTAAAAAATACATTTTACGTAGTAATTGTATAATTATATAATTATAAATATAATTGTAAATAATACAAAATATGTTTTTGTATTTCGTATACGTATTTCAATTGCAAGTAATCCAAATACTGTCACAAGAAATAAATAGGTAATAAAAGCGGAACGTAAGTTTGAACTTGACAAAAAAAATACTGAAATGGAATTAATTAACAATAGTTGAAAATTTCTCAAAATGTGCGCCTCCATTTTTACGTACTCACTTAGTCAATCATAAATTTCAGCATGGACAGCATGGACCGTATTCATATCTGTTTCGGCAACTGCTTTTGTCAATGATGATTAATTTACAAATAGTATGGAACAGCTGACATTTTCTGTAATAGTTATTTGTATTGATAGCTTGATCCACCCACTCTACACTGTCGTACATTAAGAAATATCATATATATTTGAATGCAATGAATGAGAATCAGTGAACTCGTTCATGAACTGGTTAAGTACACCAGTACTGCACACAAAAAAATCACTACTTTTATTTGTGTCGTAGTCATTAATATTGATTCAAAATAAAACGTACAATGGATATCATAAAAAGAAAGAAACATTTATTCAGCTTATTAAGACTTATGTAAGCTGAAACGGATCCAACTCAACATATGTCACAGCTCGCCTGCTGTAATGCTAGTTTTCAGTTGGCACCACTTTTTTAAGATGAGATGGCACGAAAGTACTAATGTTAATTAACACTAAAATTATAATATCGCACCTCCGGTGGAACAGTGTCTTCACTTACATATGCAAAAATTTACAATAAAACAAGCTCAAAGTTTTATTTTTTGTTTTTAGGGCTACTACTGAGCACATTTGAAGAGCTCTTCAATGTTACATTATTTCAATAAGTATTTTGTCCTCTATGGAAAAGTGAAAAATGAATGATGTGTTTCTGTTTTTGTGTTTTGTGTATAAATTGCATTGATAAGTAATTTTCAAAATTTATTGCAGTTAAGTCTTTATTTCACCGAAGGTGCGGTATATAACTTAAAATTTAACTAAAAACAAAGTAGGAAAATTAGTAACAATAGGAATTATTACATGAATTGAATGTATGCAATCTGCACTTGTTACACATTTGTAAAGAAGAAACTAAAAAGGCTGCCATTATTGCTGCAAGCAATTTCTTCTATTTAATTTGGCTTTTTATAAAAAAAATATGAAAAGATATGATTTCTCTCAGATGGCGTTATAGGAATAAAAATCGTTAAAATCAAAAATAAACAGATGTAACATGCACATAAAAAAATTCGTAATGTCCGCTAGTAGACGTTGGTTCGAATCTCGTCAGATCGAAGGAATATTTGAAACTACCCTTATAGGCAGTCCTTTTATGTGGAGGAACTATGAGAACAACATTACGTATGTACGTTGTTGATGCTTCTCTATGGTGAAGCAATAGGCGGTAACTACACAGAAAGCACTTGGAAATCGCACTGTAAAACCTGCAGTTGGTTTTTTGAGATACGTATAGTGAAACGGGCTATATTCTGGGGGTCTACTCTCGATCTCCGTCCGACATCCGTCCGAAACAATTACTGTCAAATAAGTAATATTCGACAAAATTAAAAGACAAGTATCGAGTATGAAGCTTCATTCGCATCACGCGTGTTTTCATTTGGTCAAGTATTGCTTATTTGGCACTAATTGTTATGGATGGATGTCGGACGGAGATCGAGAGTAGACCCCCTGATATTTAATTTTGCGGTAAATACTGTTTATGAACAGGTTAAACTATGTAGAACTTGGGCACCACACTACGCCTTCCATTGCTGCAATCGTTCTCAAGTTATAGGCAACATTTCCTATTCCCTCGGTAATTATCTTATTGTTCTTTAATTGGATCTGTGCTAATAGAATCGGCAGATTTGTCGTGGTGTAAAGCGCTATATAAGTAGCACGCACGAGAATTGATGGCCTAGAAGGGAAAAGGTTTGCCTTTTATGTCCAAGACCCTGCCTTCAATGCTTATCCACTATCTACAATCTACCACTAAGTGATTACAATTCATGTGTGGTTTAATAATTATTACTTGTTAAGCTTTGCGTTTTGGTGTAGGATTACATAATTTGTGAACGTGTGAAGTTCGCCATTGGCATTGCGCCAGCGTTGAATTCTAAGGCGTAAACCTCTTCTTTAGGGTAGATCGGTGCCCAGTAGTGCGACATAGCGTCACCTTTGTCACTGATTACCGTCACTTTTTTCTGCCAAGATTGTGGCTAATGCCTTCGTCTCTTTTACATTAAAAAAACTAAGCACAAGTTTCAAAAGCAAACGACTTCAGACTCACGCTTGACTACAATCTCCCCTATCACGTCGTGCTCCTGGTGCCACTCAGAGCTTTAAATGGTAAAGATCTGAGGGGCACTGCCACAGTGACATTACTTAACATTACCCTTACTTGATAAAACCGGAAAGCAGCAATGTGAACATTGCTGCTTGGCGGCAGAAATAAGGTGGCAGTACTTCCGTGGACGAACTCATACAAAAGGAGCTCTATTGCTACATGATTGCTACTACAGCGACGGGGTAACGCGTTTGTCTAAAAAAATGCTCTCAAACTTAACTAAACTGGACTCACTTTCGCCACGAACAGGCCTAAATTTGGCTTTTCGATAATATAGATGTCGTTAGTATATTCCATTCCTTTGCCGTATGTCTTAGGAAGATGAAAGCAAAGCGCTATAAAGCAATATACTAGTGAAATAAGTACTTTCGTCAAATTCGATGTAGAATAAATGTGAACACAAAATCATATGATTTTTAGGGTTTTCACATCAGATATACACTTACTACAATTTCAATATTTTTTCCCGAAATTCGATTAGGCTATTGATAATACAATATAGTATATTGGTAATTTTGAAGTCATGTCTTTGTTGAACTTTGTTCAATATAAGTAACAAATCACTAGTAATTAGAAACCAACATAAAAATTACCAGTAATCAATTATTTATAAAACTGTGTCATTCCTAATTATTTTTTTTACAAACACTTGCAAACATTTTTAGTTCGAGTAGACAAAACATTTCAAGTTCAGAGACGGAAATTGATGCTGGATGAAATATGTAGTAAATTGATACAAAATCAAATCTTGCAATTTTATTTCTTTTCATCTATCATTAACCTACCATTACTATTGAATTACCTCCGTGACCGAACGGTTACCATACCGGTCTGCCACGCAGAGGTCCCGGGTTCAATTCCCGGGCCGGGAGAAATATTTGTATGGCCTACATTTATGTCTCTCATGACTTTGGGTGTCATTTGTGATTGTTTATGTGTGTGGCCATGGCACCCGCGACACAGGGTTTCCGTAGTGCGGCGCTATGAGTGTGTGGGTTATTATTATCTGTATAGCAATTAGTATTCATAAGTACCAAAAAATTAATCATGTGTATGAATAGGCATTTTGCAACTTTATAATAATTGGCTATAGTCTTTCATTTTTTAAACGAGTAGTGTTGCCAGTTTTCACAACACTTAATGTTATGTAGTTGTTGTCGATAGGTTATGAAAGAAGATGCAATTTTGCCAATAACGACTGAATTGTGAACGTTCTGATGATTATTAATTGCGTTATTACCTTCTATTTGTGGTTGTCTATGTGTGTGTCCATGGCACCCGCGACACAGGGTTTCCCTAGTGCGGGGCTATGTTGAGTGTGTGCGTTATTTATTTATTTATTATTCTAATTTTGACAGTTGACCTACCAGTATCGAGATCAGTTTTTATTCATAATTAAAATTTTTTTTTTTACAAGAATAGCCGGATACGATTATGTATATTGAATTAAAATGAAAAACTTTAAAATATGTCTCCTCTTAGTATTTTTCATTTTCATAAACTTACAAAAATTGACAATTCAAATGAACTTGTGCTCAGTAATTGGATGAATAATGGGTCGAGGATGATTCAAATTAAAGAAGTTCGGCTATTTATCCCATAAGCGTGACCAATATTCAGTCGATCTAGTGATAGAATATTTATCGATTGCTATCACTAGCTGCTCGCAAGCGGGCAACATTTGTGCATAATGAACTGTCATTTTACTCCATCTTCAAAAAAAGATAGACTATAGGTAAAAATTAACTTCTACATAACCCAATTACCTATTTAAATTCCAATTACGCGAGCAGGCCGCAGACAGAGCACGCCTAATTAATAAGCATTGACAAAAAAAATGTTCTTTTCCTATGCCATCCTTGGGTGCCTAACCGCGTTTTGTTACTAAACATTCTATGTCGAATTTGGCTAGAGTAATAGGTATACCTATTACTCAAGCTGGCTTTCTTGGACAAAGGACTGCCCAAGACGCTGTTGAGCCTACAGCACACAGCATTAAGTCCGGAATTTGTTGTCTTAACCCCTCACTTCTACACACTCCATTATCACATAATAAACATCGGCTCATGTCTCACAGTTTGGTGATAATAAGCAAAATACATTTGACATCAAATATCCGAAATTGTTCATAGGAAAACATAATTTAATTTTCCTAATTTCCATTGTTTATCGTATTACTTTTTAAAAATTAACCATTAATGTTTGTTATCAGTACCAAGTCGCCCAGTTATACTGCGTGGCGGAGGTGTCCAAAAATGAAAGCGGCGGCGGAGAAGGCGTAGAAGTTATAAAGAATGAGCCCTTCAAAGACCATCCACTTCTTGGTAAGTCTTTTTCTTTTCGTAACAATAACCAAGAAGGATTGTAGTATTCTTACCGTACCGTGTTTCTTTCTGACCGTTTCGTATAGTGCCGCCAACTTATCACACTCGAGATATTCTAAGATAAAGCTTTGGTTGTAAACGATAACGTATTATTGAATACGACTGCTATTAAACTTATAAGTTGTTGGCACTTTGAGATCTGAAGTTATAGGACATCTGGGTCGAAGGACCATGTAAACATTACCATATAGAAGCTGTCCATACGTTCTATTACCGTTACTGATTTGGCTTTAAAAATACATTTAATGTATTCTTTATTCCAAACGATTAGGTGAGTTAAATTGTATTGGCATAGGAAACTGTGACGTTAGGATGCCATGTGCTCACTCCGGTTTCGTTAGAGATACAATTTTACGTGCATATCTGTCTAATAGTTTATTTAGGTGGGAAAAAGTCGACGTCGAAGAAAGAAAATGGAAGCAATGACGCCTGCGGTACCTGCAGAGATTGTGACGACGATAACGAGGGTATTTGTTCACAGTTAGCACGGAGAATATTGGTAGGTGTGACATATTGACCGAAATTCCTTTCGGCATGATGCTACTCTGGTACCAGACGAAATTTTTTTACGATATTTCAGAACAAAATACCTTTCCAGGCTTTAAGTTGGCCTCGAATTTCTTTCCTCACTTTGTTACGAAACTCTTTGTAGATTTTCTGGAACTGGTTATTCTAAATCTGAATTAAATTATAAAACATAGTCCTTACGAACTCTGTTAATCTATTGATGCGCATGCAACCATCTAGCTGAAAATAGACTCGAAGTCTATTTTTTTTTGATATTTTCCAAAATTGTTGTAGGTGTATGTTACATCCGCCTTTCTTCTCTGAGCTTAAAGTGATTCACATTGCAGTTGTATTTTGGGTAGTAAGAAGTATCTAAGCACAGTCGATATAGAACATTGCATCTCATTAATATGTTTAAAAGATGATCGAAATGTACAACAAGACTTGGAGTATCACTTGATACAAATTTATTCTGATCTGAAATCTTTAAGATCCTAGCTACAAAATTCATAGAGCTCATCTCTAAAAGATGAATTGAAAGATTTTATACAAGAATTCCTCCATCTGATCCCAAATTGGCATCAGGTTAATTTTCTCTACCTAATTTCGGTGGCAACTTGTATTATTTAAGTATTCGAGTATTAAATAATGTTTCAGGATGCCACACTCGAATATTAAATAATACTTCATAATGGTAATATTCCAGAAGATTAAATAATAAAAAGTGCCACCGAAATTAAGTAAAGAAAACTAATCTAATAATTACCATCAGTCAAAAGAAAATGCTATAATGTTATTTATTACTTTCGCAACATTGAATTTTAAATAACTAATTCTTCCTATCAGTAGGAAAAATCAGTTATGCCGACAGTTAAACAATGATGCACAAACGTGCATAAAAGCGCAATTTTTTCAGGCGCCAAAATTAAGTAGTGCTTTGAGATGTCTATTTTATAATCTGGTTACTTTCGATCTTGAAATCGAGTTGGCGTAACGACGCTCTGCTGGTCCTGCAACATGCATCGTCTGTTGCATGCTTGAATGCGCACATTGGCAAACAAACATCCTTGAAACCATGAAACATCTCTTGTATCCAACATTCGGAAACATTTTAAAGATGTATAGAATACTGTCTAATTTGTTACTATGCACTATTTTATGAAATTAGACATTCGAGTGATGATACAATAGTAGTAGTTGCTACGTAATTAACTCTGGCAAGTTGGATGTTCTATTTTCTCTTTGAGTCTAGAGAATACAACGTATTTGGTGTTAGTAATCCCCTAGACGTGTTTTGATGTGTGCGTTTGACTTTCGAACAGGAGGATTTTCACGTTAGTTTTCTCTACCTAATGTCGGTGGCAATTTTTATTATTTAAGTATTCGAGTATGTTACCTTGAAATGTTAAATACTATTCAGGTTACTACACTCTAATATTAAATAATACTTCATGATAATATTCGTTACTTTAGTTGTTAGCACTTTCATAGTGAAGACCTGTAGGTTCCTTTATAATCAGTGCCGGTATACGTTCTGGGTTTCGTTCTGAATAAAGTCTAGGGGTAGTATTCTCTCTGTTCGCTTTACTACTTTAGATTTACACGGTGGTGGTGTTACGACGTCTACACATCGAGCGCTGAGCACAGTCACGTGCGTCAAGTGTGCAACGTGGAACTCGTTTACCGATGTGCTTGTGTTTTTAAGACCTCCCTAAAAACACAAGATTGTAGTATAATGTCAGTGTAACAGTGCCCTAAGCATCAACCTTGAACGGGTAATCATTTAGCGTAATAGTCCGACACGTGTATGTTTCCATTATCGTAACCTTATTCACCAGATTTAGGTTGTACTTTTCATTAATGACGTTCAGCTGATTGATTTGCGTTTCTTTTTTTAATTAAGCATGTTATGATTATGTATTTCATTGTTCCAATTATTTATACTACGTTTTCTTTTTAGAGTTAAAAAAACGTAAACAAAGAAGCAGTGATCATAAACCTTTTTCTTCAGAGTACAAATTACCAGTACAGGAACATCGTGACAATTGGTGACAAATGACATTTACAAATGAGACAAGTTTCCATAATGTTCGTAATCTATATATTGATTAATAAAGGTAGAGAGTCTCTTAGATTTAGAGAATACTACGAGTAAAAGAAATGTAAAATCATATTACAAAATTGAAGACTACGTGTTAGATAAAGATGTATGGAAAGACGACACGGCTCCAGAATCCACACAAATTTGATTCAAAGTGTATTCCATAGCATTTAAGTTTATTTGAAAAGAGCAATCCCTAGAGTTTCTTGCTCGATCTTCTCAGGGAGGTCAGCGTAGTGAACGAGCAGTAGCTTAAATGTGACGTTTTCAAGTGTAAATTTATTTTACCTATGGAATAAATAATCTTTGACTTTGACTTTGTAATAATTACATAAATTTAGAAGAATTCCGTTTCACGATATTTATTAAATTGGTTTGCTTACAAAATAATGGAACGATATCGTCGCCTTACTTTCTCAAACTCGTATCTTAAAGCACAAAGTGACTGAAATGCAAAAAAGTCGATTGTATATGTTACCGGAAATATATGGAATCAGGAATTGTATACAAATCCTAGGAAATGTATACAATTCCGAAGCTATCTAGGAAATGTATGAAATATTGTTTCAAAAACTATTTGTTACATAAATGTCCTAGAAAATGTTTAAATAATACCAATATCGTATTAGGAAATGTATAAAAATAATGCTTTCTGTAATAAAACACGTTGTTAAAATGAGAATAATATTTTTTATTAAAGCACTCATTGCCCAGAGGGACTTCCGCGTTTGTATAAAAAAACCTAACTTAACCTAAATAGTCCAATTCGTTTCTGCCCAGAGGGACTTCCGCGTTTGTATAAAAAAAAAGCTAACTTAACCTAAATAATCCGATTCGTTTCTGCCCAGAGGGACTGCGACGCGCGTACGCACTGACAGTTTACGCGGCACTAGCGCGATCGCCTGATCAGACGAAGCAATACCCTCCCCTCGCCCCGCTATCCCCGGGTACCCATTGATATCTCAAATGTTTTACATTTCCGATTGCTATTTAGGAAATGATTTCCTAGGAAATGTGTCTAATATAATTTATTTTACACATTTCCGTGCGATTTTAGGAATTACATACATTTCCTAGGAATTGTATACAATGACGGATTACATACATTACCGGTAACATATATACAAATTTTTGCGGCTGATTTCACATCAGATTTTCTTCATATTCATACATTGGCTTTTACTTCTTCTTAACGTAATGCATTCAAATTAACACCCTTGATAAGAAATTTAATAAATAAGAAAAAAAAAATTAAGTTTTGCCATCCCCTGTATAATCACTCTTTATAAGATACGAGTCAGACTATATATAGATATGACACTTGATAAAAGATCCAAAATTTAAAAAAAGATTAAAAAAAAAACGCTTAAGTCCCGATTTGGACTTGTAAAATCAAAGGGAATTTTAACAGTTTAAAACGAATTCCTCTTTGGAACGCGGCGCGGTTGCCGCACAAAATTAGTTCACCGTGCCGATGTGTGGAGCTCCTAACACTGATTTCAAAATTTAATCAAATATATTTCGTTCAACCTCTGAATCAAGACAACACAACACTAAAAATACAAATTAAATTGTAAGAAACGAATCGACACAAAGACTAAATTTTTCTGCGTGTGCAATTCCGTTTTTTTCTCATTTCAATAAATATTAATACAAGATCGTCAGTGTAGAATCGAAATTCCATCATAGTATGAAGAGTATTAGTTTACATAACTTTGTTAGTCGAGTCTCTATTTTATATTATAATAGAGATACGACACCCGATGTAGACAGAAGCAATATTTATCTAAGCAATAACTAATCTCGCAAACAAATAAAACTTGTCTTTACTAAATACTGTGTATTACTCGTTTTGGTACGAACATAATATCTTAATGATAAGTGCTTGTAAGATATATAATATAATAATTATGATGATTAATGATAATGACTTAAGACCCGCCTTTTTAATCACTAGAGGTTAATTCCGACTGCATCGCTATTGCACGTTTGCATGACATGACTGCACATAAGTGTCCACTTAGCGCATAGGTTCCCAATTTTTTTGGCTCACCGCTCACTTAGACCAGATACAAAAAATTTCAACGCTCACTACAAAATAATTGAAAAAACGTATTTTTTATATTAAACCTAACACAAAAAATCACAAGAAAAAAATACATTTGCATGTAGTGTAGTTTACATAATTCAGGTTTTTTTTTTCAAATGCGGTAGCACCCCCTGGACAGCTTTACCAAATGCTTTCGAGGCCCTACCCCTAGGACCCTTCAGCGTCCACTGGGCGGCAGGGACCACTTTGGGAAACCACGACCTAGTGTAACAACGGTTGAAA